ATAAGCCGAACGTATATACTTTTTTACTGTTGAAGTTGATGGATCTGTAGTTTTTGGCATCAAACTAAATGTCCAGTTATCAGTCAAATCTTTAAACTTCGCATCGAAGACATCTTTCCATTCAATAAATGACATGATAACGAGTAATTAATCAAGCTATGTTTAATAATAAAAAAAAATAAAGCAGTTAATTTTTTTTTGTTACAAATACTTGAATTGGACCTACAAATGCTCACTTCAAGAGATAAGAAATAATTAAGCGTTTCCAATGGATCTAATATTATTAACCCGCCGGAAATTCAAAATATCCGATCATTTTCATCGATTTTGAGCGAGTTATTATGTTTTTTAGTTTTATGTGGGAATAAATGAAAATCTCTTCATAAAAGTGAATTTATTAGTATAATCCTTTTTGAAAATATGGGGATATATATAGTATTCCAAATATTTTCGTTGTGCATTTAGAGTAAAAGTACTTCGATTTTGAGTAATCAATATTCGATGAAAATTTTTGAGGCACGAGTTGATTTTCCAGAGATCCTTCAAACATCCTACTTCACAAATACGCTATGAAAAGCTTTTTACTTACAAGGCTATGCCTTGAAATCTTCTCCTTCGAGTAATCGGAAATTCGCATGTCTGTAAGGCGCCAGAAATTCAAAGTTTAGTGAAATTTATTTATGCGATATTTATATTTGGGTGGATGTTCAGCTCGTCAAGCTGAACAAGAATAAGTATGCTTTAAAGTTTCGAATTAACGTTCTAAGGTAGACAATTTCCAAAAACTCAAAATTTTAAAATTTTAAAAACGGCTTATTTTTTAAAAACGAACATAAATTTCGAATTCATTGTGTTTGAAAATGTTGAAAGTCTTTTATTCTTCTTCTACGTGAAAAACAGATTCGGAAAAATTTTAGTTTATCTCCAACAGCCAAATAATGTTCATGCGGCGGCAAAAAGTTTCAAGTCTCTTTAGATTTGAGATGAAACTAAAATTTTTATATTGTGATACTCACCACAGCGGCATGAAAAAAGTTACACATCGGTTTTGAAAAGTATTGCTTCGTTGTTGAGAAAATAAATTTTTTTATGACAGGTAGGAAAATATAAGAAAATGCACTCGTATTTTGCAGCTTTTGACGCCAAACTTCCATTCTTTTTCAAAACCAATGTCATATCTGGAATCAGCATCAAAAGCTGAATTGACTGATATGTGTTTCAGGTTTTTTGAGACAACTTTGGTTTTTTCGTAAAAAACTTAGTCGGAAAGTTCGAAAAACCAAAGTTGTCTTAAAAAAAATTAAATTACTTTATGTTCTGTATTTAACCTTAAGATGGGGTCAAGAGCATGCGAGTACAAAAACAGTTCTATTTTTCGAGATTCAGCATTTTCATTCTGTGAACCTCCTTCGAAGAATAGGAAAAAGTTGATGGAGTCTGCCACATATTAAGCGGGATTAAACGGAATGTATATCATCCTTCAGTAGAACAATGATGTGTGAAAGTTATCTGATCTGTTATTTTGTAATAAAAGTTTTAAAATTAATTGAAATTTTTTGGAATAAGACGAACAAGTTTATCATACACCTACTTTGCATTGCCATTTTGTTCTTTTCACGATGGGAAAAAACCCATTGTTGTTTCTCACCTTATGTTTTTTCTTCGTTAATCACGACAGAAACGATAAAATTTTACTTTACTTCACTTTTATATTTATTGATAAGAAGAATAAAAAGACGTTACATAAATTGTATTAAAGAAGATACATCAAAAAAGCACAAGGGCTGATAACAACAAACAAGTTGTAGTAGACATCTGTATCTACGTTGTTTACTGCTTTAATCGTTATACCGGAGAAGACTAACGAGGACATCGCAAAAACTGTTACTGGTATAGGTGAATTCTCGTTTTGTTGTAATTTCTTTCAAAGTAAACTTTCTAATATTCTTGTTTTGAGTTAATTTTTTATAAACAGAATAAATCATTAATTCGAAAAAAGTATGCTAGAAAGAAAACAAGTACTGATCAGATGGGAATATCAAATCATTTCCAGGCAGAAGATCATTTAGCTAGGTAATCATTACTAGAAATATGCGATATAACAAGTACCGGGATGATCAATACGAGGAAGTACTAGAAAGAAACATTCATTCACGTCTGATTAGACTTATTATTTGACCATTGGAAGACATCTTTTCTATCATATTTGCTTATACATTTTTTAGCAGCAGTGTTCGGATTCTTTCAATCCGAAAGTTCTCTGTTTTCAGGAGAATTTCAGTACTCAAACAAGAATTTTGCTAGTCTTATAGTAAACTCTTTCGCAACGTGGAGAATTTTTCTCTAGGTGCCCGGAAATTTCTCCCATTCCACGAGAATTTCTGGAATTTCTGTTATACCTACCAGGAATTTTCGTTCTTCTACAGGAATTATTCAAACATACAGCGAGCTTGAAAATCTTCTGAATTTCTAGTCTTCAAAGTGTTCGGAAAAGTCGATGAATGAGTTTTTTCTAATTTGACTAATAGAAACGTGGAAAACTTTCATAGCGAATCGCTATACGCGGACGATGGGGGCGGAATCCACAAAGACATGAGACTGAATACTGAAGAATATTTCTTAACTCATAACATATTTTGTATGGTAATATATTTAACCGTTGAATTACATTATTTAGGACCTTGGGGAAAATTATTCAATCAATCAATCAGTTTAATTTAACACGTATGTCTAGGCTGTTACAAAAAAGAAAAACTCAAATGAATGTAACGTCTATGTAAAGATAAGAGAAACAAGAAGGAATTGTTACATATGAACATCACAGAAAATCACCCTAAATGTTCCTATTCTTTTGCCGATCAACAACGGTTTTGAATACAGATGGTATTTGTTCTTACAATTATGAGCTCAGTTCAATTTCTTTTCTGTAGGTAAAATTCAGTTTGTCGAAAAAACTCATTTTCATACATTCAGACACAATTAAGTTGATATTCGAAGAATTGACCCTTACTTTATTACAGTAGTTACTTTATTCTGTTCTTCTAGTTATCCTAGTTTGTAGTCAGTCTATAATAACTATCCAGTGCTTTAGAATTTGTTTATCATAAACTGGTCTGTTTGCTGTCGGCTTGATCTGTTAGTTCGGCTGGATAATTCTACATTGAAAGTATCCCATATGTGCATCGAAGTTTGCGGCGAACATCGAAACATATCCTATTGAAAGAGGATCCAGTTTTTAGAAACAATATACAATTTTAAAAAATTTATGTTATATTTGTTTATATAGAAGGTCTTTGAAATGAAGAATTTCGGAAAACTTAAAAAGAGCTTTACAATTTCTGAGGTTATTAAGTCTCTAGAAAACCAACAAAGATCTAATTGAATCACCCTATTTATATTGATCATAGTAAATTAAATATCTACTTTTTCCGATGAGAAACGGTTGTGCTTCACAGTTCTCTTATGTAAGTTACATCCACATTGCATATGCAGTTATTGTATGAATGACTCAACAATAAAAGCAATAAACATAATAGAAGAGAAAATATCATGTGATCAAGCTCATTATACAATTCCACTAAAGTATCTGGCAATTCTGAATCATTGATCAACAACTTTTAAGCGCCTTAAAACACAACATTCTCACAAGTTTCAAATTTGTTAATTCAATGAAAGAGTGATCTCAAAGGTATGTTAGTTATATGAGCAAACACATACAAACGCTGGAAATAACTCTAAGTTACAAACAGCTAATGATAAAATAAATCGCTTGAAAGCCCCATAAATTCAGACAAAATAACAAAATTAATGCACAATTATAGATTCAAAAATAAACCGTGAAAAAAATTCGCAACTGAAATGAAATGTGGGTATGCGCGTCAGACACTTGAATAATCAAATTCATGTATAAAGAAAAATTCTCTTAAATTCAGCTAAATTCAAGTAAATTCTAAAACGTATCAAATTCAGCCGTTTTCCCCTTGGAAAATTCGCTCAGTGATACGATATACGTTACAACGACGTTGTTTAACTGTTGTTGTATTCGAATGCAAGTTCGTGTACTTTAAAATTTGCTAAAAAAAATGAAAAGTTTAGCTTTATTCTATTTGATTTAGAAATTTAATTGGTGTTCATAATCAAAATCTGCCCGATCCATATTCTCATCTCTTTATAGATCATAAAAAAGAGACGAAAAAAACAAAATTTGTGCACGATAATCTCAGTCTCTCATATGAAGAATTGTAAGTAAATTTAAACAAAACTCTTCTACGAGTATCTCTACTCAATTTCTTGTCAAATATTTCAGATTTGAATGGAATGGTTCATTAAATGAAATTCAAACACAAAAGTTACAAATAAGTATTAAGAATAATTCGCCGTTATTTATGTCAGATTTCCAAAATTATAAATAGCATCCTCTTCATTCTGTTTTATAGAGATAAATATCCTGTTTTCTTCAAAATAGAAGTCGAGTGAGACAGTCATTTGTGATGGTCGAGATGCTGGATGGTGTCTCCTAGAAGCTCCAGAATCAATATGAGATTATCGATGGGAACGTCAGATCAGTTGGAGAATATAGATTATCGGTCACTTCCATAGCAACGTTTTTACGTTTTGGAAAAAAACTCAAAAATCAAGTAAAAATCCAACATAGGTAGGTGCTAGAGTGCCCTGAACCACAGGATTAGAAAGCCACTCCTAACAGAAGACCATCCTAAAAAATTTGATCCGCTGGGACACAGTAGAAGGCCATGCCCTTCTGTTCTTGGGGGGGGGGAAGGGTTAAAATAAAAGTTTATTACAGACGCAGGTATAATACGCAGTACAGACAAGGTCGAGTTTAAAAATCAAAATCACATGTAGAAACGCGTCAGGATATGGACGGTCACTCTGAGTCGTACCTTGCATCCCTTCTTTGATCAGTTACTGTATATTGTTTTCCTTGGACAAAATCATAAGGATTTATAAGTTTATTATAAAACCTGTTAGAATTAAGCTTTTTAAGGAGTATATGGTGGTAGTAAACTGTAGCGAGGCGGCGGTGTGAACGACGGCGGCGGCAGGTTTTCAGTAACTTCAACATCGTCATTAACTTGGCGTTGCTCATCTTCTGACGATTCCTGTGTGATATTCAATATATTTGGATGTATCGCGACGATTGTTTCATTTGGTAAAGGATCTGACTTCAGAATCAACTCTCGAGTGTCACATTTGACTGATGATGCCTTCTGAATAAAGACGAAACGTCTCTAACAGAAAATAGAGATATTTTTCATTATGATAAAGGTGATTTATATCTTATTATCTTTCACAAAAAAGTAACTTTTGCTGAAAACAATAAGTTTGAAAATCTTTTTTTAAAATCGGGTTTTGATGGGATCTTTGGAAAACCTTATTGGTATGGAGTCAGTACCGCCTTATTTTCCTGCCGAAACTTATTCTTCTATTATGCAAAATTATTTTTTATAACTGTGTAGTTTCTCATTTTGATATTCTTCAATAGATTTCTGTTATTAATAAAGCAGCAAGAGTGCGATAGAAGATGATTTTTTTCTGATTTAAGATTTCCCAAAAGCGTTAAAGAATTCTGGATGTACGTCTCATAAACTGTCGGATTATACTGAGCTGCCGCTCGCATAGTGTGTATTCCACAAAACTTGTGCAAATTGTGAGAAAAAAATGGTTTGATCGTAGTTTTAAATTTTTAGCTCCAGACACCTTAAAATTTTGCCAATACTCCTGACCACGCAAAGCATAACTGATAAAAACTGTTGGAACAAAACTTGTTCCCTACTCAGAAATACTTCCAGCCCTCTTGGGATCTTCAGAGGGTGTTCAGAACCCACTTTAGCTTTATATTACACTGTGCGTTTTTCTTGTAGAATCAGAGAAGTTCACAATATTTCTCAGCTATCCTGGTTGCGAACGCCGACCGAATGCAGGTGTGAGCATTACTTAGAATTCAGAAATATTCTTAAATCCTTGGGGCTCTTTGGAGGATCTTCAGGAAACTTTTTAGATTTACATTTGATTACGAACCTTACACATCAGATCAGAGAAAAATTCATAACGTGTTTTAGATAGCCTCTAGCGAACGCCGACCGGAGGGAGGCGTGAGCCTTGTCTTGGATTCAAATTCAAAGATACAAAAACCCTTGGATTTTTGTATCTTTCTTGTCTTTTCGATCAGTTTTGATCAAAGAAATTCGAAATTTTGCTTACGTCCTTTCAATGTGCATAAATAAAAATAAACTGGGCATGTCCGTTTATGCAGCAGACATGTGGACGTCATATACATGCAAGAGAATAATGCACGTTGTCTACGCATTTCGTCTTTTTTAACATACTGTGAAGCAGAAAACCATTTTTACTCGCCTCTTTTGCATGTTTTAACCTGCATTTTCTTACTGATTTATCATAAAAAAAATATAACTAATTAAATAATTTAAATCTTTAGCTTCGAGGTAAGTATACAGTAATTTCAGATGAAGGAAGAGGATAGTTAAATCGTCCTTAATAACTTAATAAGACTATCAAAAGAATAATAGAATTTACTTTGCAGACGGGTTAAATCTGCAAAAGTAAATTCTGTATAGACTCGATTATATCTTGAAAAGATAGGGACATTGTGCAATTATGTTTAGCACTATTTAAATCAAATCAAATTTATTTTCATGTCCTAGATGTTAAATTGACAATAATACTGAATTTAAAAGCGTAGCGGTATTGGAAGAAAATACTAACCGATGGAGAAGTCTCAGGACGCCTCAAACCGTTAGCGGCAATAGTTGCAACATTTTTGATGTGGGAGAGTATACGAAATGAATTTATTTCGAGGGAACATCATATCATAACGTTTGTTGACACAGAACAGAGAAGAAAATTACAATACATGTTCCAGTACAGCTGACGTTTTTCTTTATCTGCTATTAGAAAATATTTTTTCGAAGAATAAAGAGAGAACTATCAAAAAATCAAATAAAACTTTTGCATATATATGCATAAAAACAACACTTAAACTGTGATCATATGAATCATTCGTATTCACTATAGGCTGTTATATTTTCAACGAGAAAATTTTGAGAATAAAATAAATATGTACTTATTAATATATACGCCAAGGCAGCAAGAGAATGAGAAGCTGTTGAAGAATTTGGACGAAAATAGAATGAATGAATAAATGAATAAATGAATAAATGGCATTGTTCCTTTCGGGACTGATCTGTTGATTCAATCCACCCAGGAGACTCTGACCTTGACTGCATATACATACAGAGAAGAAATTAGGTATCAATAAAAATATCAACATTTTACTGTTCTTTTTCCTTCATTCGTTCGTTGCCAATGAATTTCTCTACCGATTGCTATTGCATTCATCGTAATACATTCAATACAGAGCTGCTCCAGATATTTTTCTCTTTTCTGCCCACCGAGAGCCATATAAAAGCAACAGGACGACAACAAACATCACAGACATAACTACCAAAGGCGCAGTACTCGGTCTCTTTTTTCTGCTGCTCTCTCTGATCATAGTCGCAATGGCTGATGCTGATTCTGGTGGGGGTTGTATTGATGCGTTTTGTGGTGGTTTTCGTGCTTGTTGTTTTCCTTGCGATATTTTTTGTTGTAATGCTTGTGGTTTTGATCCTGATAATGGTGGTGGTTTTTCTGCTAGTTGTGGTAATTGTTGTCGTAATACTGTTGGTCGTTGTTGTTGTTGTCCTCCAAATTGAAAAAAATAAGTCAGGTATGTTTTATTAATATGTTTATGTATATGTGTTTAGATGATAACTCATCCAGAGAATATTGTTGTATTTTATTTCATTATCCCAACATTCTTGTTAGAGATTATCTTTTCGATTACTTGATGATACTGAATTAATTCACTATTTTTCTTGGTAGGAGCTATGGAACAACACACGCACCAAAATCGAACGTTCCCATCAAGTGTCGGCGAACATTGCCTAGTTAGTAGCTAGTTGTCTCGTTCACTTTTTCATCGATTTTTCTACTTTATTTTTTGTATTTTTCACAGTTTGCAAGTTTAATAAAATGTGTGCACCGAAAACATACTCTGGTTAAGTTGTTGAGAGCAACACCAAATATCTATAATAATCATGAACAACATCTTTTTTTCTGTCAAGAGTTCGACATCACGCATTTAATTCATTTTAAGTGTCATGTAATGGCCACAGTAAAAATCTTGGAAGTTTTCTTATTAAGATCCCGCTTCTTTCTGTCAAAATCTGGACTAGGTTGTGCTTGAATTTTGGATAGGATCCTATTGAAACTTGATAGGAACTTATGACCGAAAATGTTCGAGTTTTGTTAGAACTTTCGTAAAATCTTATTCCAAGGGTCTTGTCAGGATCCTGCGCTAATCCTAGCGAAACTTCTCAGGCTAAAAAAACAGACGTAAGATCTTGTTGATTAGACGAAATTGTATGAAAATTGCACGCAAAATCGTCGTCTCTATAGTCTTACACTAAATCCTGCTATAAAATTTTTGAAAGATCTTACCCATATCAAAATATGACCAAAAATTTCTAGAGAAGCGACCCTCGAGATTTTTACATATTCGGAATCAGCGCGACGAGTTACGTTGTACGGCGCAAAAATCTCGTCGGGGTATCGACACTTTTTGGACCCGGATTCGCCACTGTGGATTTTCACGGTATATTACACTATATTCAACAGTAGACATCAACGATGCCGCTTTTCTCCCGTTCTCTTTTATGTATCATTTTTCTTTGCTTTGATCTTTTTTTCTTTCTATGCACACTATAGAGACAGATATAAAGCAAGAAATGGAGAAAAGAACAAATTTTATCGTTTTATCCAAAAGAAAGATTGCACTCACTATGAAATTAGCGTATATTCTGGCAACTTCCCAGATTAAAAAGTTAACAAATTTGAAGGTACCCCTCTCCAGTTTTT